TCAACTCAGAGAGACGGATTCTCGCTGATTCTCTAACAACACTGCATGCAATGCCCGTCCCGTCCCTCAAGGGCCAGAACCTGTGAATATGTTAGGTTTCAAGGCAAAGAGACATGAAGGTGCAGATGGATTAAGGGGGCCGGTCAGCTCACCTTGAGATGGGAGCCCGCCTCGATTGTCCAGGTGGGCCCAGTGTAATCACAATTCTTATAAGTGGAAGAGGGAGGTGGTGCGGTTACAGTGGAGAGGATGTGAGGAGGCACGCAGAGCCAGAGTGGCGTGATGTCAGGAGGACTCCACTGGACACTGCCAGCCTTGAACACGGCTCACAGTGTCCATGAGCCAAGAAACACGGTGGCCTCTCGAGGCTGGAAAAGGTGAGAAGATGGATTCTCCCCAGAGCCTCCAGAGGCAACTGGCATGCATCAGAAAAACAACACTTGTCTGTTGAAATTGATGGTTTCAGCGTCCCATTGTCTACCAGATAAGGAGGCAGAGTTGGTCTGCACAGAAAAGGCGCAGGAGGTGGTTCTACCTGAAGAGTCCAGTCCTCACAGGACTGCAGGCAGGAGCTGTTCTCCAGTCTTCAGGTGGGCATTTCAAAGGGTTATGATTCAGCCTGAGATGGAGAGCTGTGCCTCTGGGTAAGAGAGTGGCCTGTGTGAGAGTGTGTCTGTGTGTGGGTGTGTGTGTGTCTCTGTGTATCTATGTGTGTGTGTTAGTTTCTTGGGATTGCTATAACTAGTCACCACAGTGTTGATCGTTTAAAATAACAGAAACTTATTCTCTCATGGTTCTAGAGGCCAGATGTCTGAAATCAAGGTGTCGTCAGGGAGCTAATACAGTGCGGATCCCAATCAATGATGCCTGTGCCACAGCCCAGTGTCTGAAGGCCCAGAGTGGCCTACTGACTGGGCTCTTCCTAGGGTGGGGCTGAGGGTGTCCCTGGATGACCACTGTCTCCTGTTTCCTGCACATTGTCCAAGATGATTGTCCAGATGCCTGTGAATGCTGTAAGCTACAGGATCATCTCCTTGAATTTTATTTCTGCTTAAATTATCTAGAGTTTCTTCTGGTATTTGTAGTCAATAACCCTGATTGGTCCAGATGCTTATACAGAAAAATTAACCGCTGCAATTCTTGCACCAAGTCTGTGACAGAACCAGCTTCCAGTGTCCTTGGACTGGTTCTATCAGACAGAAGGACAATGAGACATAGAGCTTGTAAAGGGGAAGAGAAAACCCGTGGAAGGTGTGTCGAGTGCCTACAAAACTTGTCTGACCCAATGGAATTGGAAATAGGGACCCAGACAAGTCCACAAATAAGCATGTTCATTGCAGCATTATTCACAATAGCCAGAGGGTGGGAACAACCCCAATGTCCAGCAACTGAAGGACAGATAACCAAATGTGGTCTATCCATGCAATGGAATATCATTCAGCCATAAAAAGGAATGAAGTTCTGACACACACTACAACATGGATGAACCTTGAAAACATCGTGCCAAGTAGAAGAAGGCAGACACCAAAGGCCACATATTATAGGATTCCGTTTATAAGAAATGTCCAGAGTCAACAAATCCATGGAGATAGAAAGTAGATTAGTGATTGCCAGGGGTTGGGGAAGGGGGCAGGAATGAAAAGTGACCACTAAAAGGCGTGAGGAACATTTATAGGGTGATGAAAATGTTCTGGAATTAGTGGAGGGAGTGAGGCTGGAGGGGGTGGTCTCTCAGAAGGGGGAGGGGAGGAGTTGCATGGAGTTTCTGAACTTGATGTGGAGAGAAAGTGCAGTGATCTTATCTGGCCAAGTGGCCTGAGCAACCCCCACCTGTGTGCTGGACCCCTTGAGGCTGACCCCAGAAGGGGTGAGTCGAGGTTGGTGAGCCCCCACAGCGCCAACTCCTCGGCTGTGGGGGGTCAGTTCCTTCTGCTGAGTGAGATGGCAGGGACTTTTATGTGCTGAGCTGACCCAAACTGTGTCCCTTGGGAGGAGACCAGCCTGACTCTTGCTCCAAACGGTTCTTCCCAACACCTTCTTAACTGGAGGTCAGGGCTTGGGCAGCTTGTCCTTGCAGACGTGGTGCTTCCATACATGGTAACCATGAGTGGACATGCACTGCCCTCCTGACCAGCATGTGAGCAGGAAGGAATGTCTGGGTCATCCATCTGGGCACCACTGAGATGGAGGGGGTCTGAAGGTGAGTGGTATCAAGAAGGGACAGCTGATAGGAGGCTGTGAGGGTCAGTCTGGTCCTAGGACTGGCTGCAGCGGGTCATGGGCTGTGGTTTGACCAATTACCTCCCTCTTCTGAGTGTCCTCTCCGTAGGAGCGTTCCTGGGACCTGGAGGAGCAGCTCCCCAAAGGTGCGCGGAGGTGTTTACCTGTGCCCAGGACGTGACAGGTGGGCTGTGGTGTCCATGCAGGGTGCTGTCAGAGCCCCTTTAGGAGAGAGCCCGCCACTGAGCTGCAAGGATGACAGCTGGTTGAAGGGTCCCAGCGGCAGCACCCCCAGGACTGGGGAGATTTGGGGAGGAGGGTGCTGGGCTGGCCTTTCCACCTGCAGGCTCCTCCATGGGCAGCCATGGCTCCCACCTCCCCGCTGGGCCAGCTAGGCTCCTTGGAGGATCTCCTGCCTCATTTGGCTTCCTGCCCCTGATCTTTCTCAGGTATCAGCCCCCAGGCCCCTCTCCCTCTCCTACCCATCTCAGCTGCGACTTCTCAGAGGACCCAACTGAGCAAGAAACCAGGTAAACAAACCAGGAGGAGAAACGGAGAAATAGAAGTGTCATGTCTGTAGGAAAGATGAACTCTATGTGGTCAAACCCTGCAGGGTCCACTTCTTACCCTTCTTTCTGTGTATCCCCCCGATTGCCCTGCGGGGGGTGGGGGGCGCCACAGCTAGGACCCTCAGAGCTAGGCCTGTAAGGCTGGTTTTGTTTTAGGACTACTTCTCGGCCTCCACCCCAGAACGAGGTCCAGGTGGGGAGAAAAGCATAGTGGTTCAGCAGCAGGGACTTGAGCCCCCAGCATGCCGGCTGCCTCTGTGAGAAAATCTGTGGTCTTCCTGGGTCCCCTCCAGGGTCCCATCCCATGGAAAGTATGGTTTGCAGGATTCTGTTAAGATCCCCTTTGTTCTGTCCCATCTTGCCTGTGAAGGGGCTCCTTGGGACACAAGGCCCTCCAGGGTCCAGGCTCCCCTGCAGACCACTGCCCAGCACAGACCGGGCACCTGGACAGCCATCAGGTGGGGCCAAGGTTGTTGGGGAGCAGATGGTGCTGGGGAGGGCGCTGGGCTTGGATTCCCAGACAGAGGAAAGAGACTCACATGGGGCCTCTGCCGCCCCCACACTAGGAAGACAGACCCTGAAAATAGGCTCCATGGGAGCCCAGGAGCTGGGCACAGGGACCCCCACCTCTGCCCACTTGTTCTCCAGCTGGAGGGGTGTGTCATGGGGCAGATCTGCCGAGGATTGTCACCTGTCAGATCTTAGCTTCCCCACCCCAAGTCTTAGCCCCTCGATCATTGAGGACCCTACACCCTGGCCCTGGCCGGCTCACAGCCCCTTCTCTGCACAGCCCCTGGGGCAGCCACACCAGAGGGACCTCACTGGTTAGGGGCAGGTCAGAACCAGGTAGACAAAGGGTGGAGGGCCTTGGAATCCCAGGAGAGGGGTGTGCGGGCACAGAGGCTTCCAGCGGGTCCCTCCTGCCAGGCTCCTGGCTTGACGGCTTTGTGCTATTGCAGGGACAGTGACGTAAGGACTGTCATCCTTATAGAAAGCCAGAAATACACAGCCAAGGCTGATGTGGCCTGTAACGGCCTGGAACCTGGGTGTCCCCCCGACTGGCGGGAGGCTTGCACCACATAGGGACTCCCTACCCGGTATTTCGTTGTCAAGGAAGGAACACACAAATGCCAGGGCCCCAGAAATCTGCATTCGGGGCCTGCTGTGTCCCGGAGAGACCCAGGGATACTGGCCACATGACCGGGAACCTTGGGCCTGGGACTTGGGAAGGTACACTGACCCTGCATGAAGGGAGCTCCCAGCATCCCCCTGTATCCAGGGAAGCTGGGCTGGGGTCCCCCCTCCCACCATGAGCGAGAAGACCCTGACCCCAGCTGGCTGGCTGTCAGGCCACTCACTGCAAAGCCCCAGGGTAATTTGGGAAAGTGTAGTGATGACATTAGAATTGTGAGCAACGTCCCTCCTGAAGTGGCTCCCTCCCCAGGGACAGTGCCTGTGTCTAGCCAAGCCTGAGGGTGGGGCAGAGCAGGAGCAGAGTCCCCCCCAGGCTGGAATCCCAGGGTCCTGCTGTTGCCATCTTGGTGGCCTGGCCTCCTGCCTGAGCCCTCAAAGGCAGCCTCCCCCTCACTCCTGCCACCACCTCCAGCCAGTTGGGAACCAGGGGCCAGGTGATCCCTACCTGCACACATGTCCCCATCTCAGGGCTGGATCTGACCCTGTTACCTTCACACCCCCTCTCCCCAACCACGACCACCCAGAACATGAGCTTCGTGGGCGTCAGACCTGCAGAGAGCCCCCCATAAGACCCTTGGTCAGAGCTGCAACACCCACCCCTCGGCCCGGACCCTCATGCCCGGAGAATCCGGACATTGATGGGTCCTCCTGTCCTGCCCGCCGTGGCTTGCCCACCTCCTCCCAGTTCCCAGCCCACCTGAGAGACCCCACAGACAGGCAGAGTCACCAGGAACTGCTGAAGCTCTTTATGTGGAACCAGGAGGGCTGGGGGAGGAAGGGGAGTGGGAGTGGCAGGGTGTGGGGGGGCAGGCCAAACCCCAGAGGCAGGGGATCCGTCCATGTCCTGCAGGAAAGAGGTTCTGGTGGTGCCGCTCTGGGGCTGCTGTGGAGCCGTGGCGCCCCTGTCCTGGGAAGGAGGGAGGTTCAGTGAGTTCAAGACAGGTGAGGGGAGGGGGGAGCAGATGTGGGGTTCTCAGGGGCTGCGGTGTGGGGGGCAGATGAGGGGCACCAAGGGGCTGCAGGGTGGGGGGCAGATGCAATGCTCTCAGGGCTGCTGCATGGGGGGCAGTTTCCCACTTCCACTAGGTGCATGGGTGTGGTGGAGGACAGACCCTGGCCCATTGACCCAAGTTGCACAGACAGAAAAAGGAGTCCCTAAATGTCCTGGGAATGATCCTCGGGGACAGATATCCCAAGTAAGGATCAAGTCCCAGAGGGGATCTCAGAGCAGACAAGGCTCTGCCTAGCTCACACAGGGTTCCTCCTGTCTGCAGCTTGGGGGGCCCCAGTGGCTCTTGATGTTCTATTGAACCCAGGGATCTTGTTTGCTTCAAGGGTCACTTACCCTAGTCACTATCAGGAACGCAGCTTTCTGTAGAAACCAAGGAAAATTCAGGAATGAGAAGATGGCCTGAACAAGGAGCTGGACCCCATCACTGTCGCAGCTCTGACACCAATATTGAAGACCCGGAGTGGGGCCCTTGCGTCCCTGTGACACGTCACGGTGCTGATGTCTCCCCCATGGAGGGGATGGGAAGCTCATGGGGGACACAGAGGGACATGAGGGACACAGAGGGACATGAAGAACCTGTTGGGGACACAGGGAGGGACAAGGGGGATAAAGGGGGATGCAGAGTGGATACAGAAAACCTGGACAGAGTTGTCCTCTTACCCGTCTGGATGGGCATGAAGATGTCCTCCAGTGGCAATCCCTTGCGCTGTGTGAATTTCTTAAATGCCTCCAGGGCTTCCAGGTTCATGTCGGGATTTCTACCTGCAGGTGAGGTGACCAGGTGAGCCCAAGGTTCAGGAAGCCGACCTCAAGAGGATTCGGCACCTCCCAGCACTTGGGGGGCCTTCACCTTGGAGCGGCCGAGGCTGAGAGTGCAGAGTTCAGCCTGAAAGTGGACGCAGAGCAGGCCCAGAGGAGAAAGGCCACCACTAGCTGACAGGCCCCTGGGAGGGGGATAGCCAAGGGGACACCCGAGACACTGAGTGTCCCTGGGGTACCGGACCCACTCCCAAAGCCGACCTGCATGGTCACACCCCTGACCTGGAAGACCCTTATGGCCTGGAGGAATTGTGCTGCCATCTACCAGAGAATTCTTGGACTTCACCACCCCCCTGGAGAGTCACTGCCCTGAGAGGGCCTCTCTCAGCAACAGCACACTCCCCTACGCTAACCTGGCCCCACACCCCAGGCCCCAGGAAGCCGTACTTTGTAGCTGTGGCCTGATCGTCCTTGGGAGTGGTCAGGTCACCGAGGGAGCTCGGACTGGCCACCCTGGGGCAGCAAATTGTGCCAGGCCCAGAAAGACAGATGCAGGGGGTTCATATTCCCCAGAATCAGACTGAAGCTGGTTCCACTGGCTTTTAGAAGCAGAGCCTGTGGGGCTGGGTCAGGAGAGGCGGATCTCTGAGGACCTGGGACAGCAGCCTCTTACCCACGAGTTTTCCCATGCGAATTGGTTTCCCTTGGAGCTGGCCCTCGCAGTAAAAGATGTGGTGGTCCTTCACTGGCAGCTCCAGGATGTACACAAGCTTCTTGCCCCCATCTGCAGACAGAGAGAAAATGGGTCTTTAGTGTCTTCATTCCTAGAGAAAATATTCGAGACCACATTAGGGAACACTCTGGAACGTTTCAGTCTCTTGGCCACCCTAGCTGTACTGATCGCCCTGTAATCCAGGCGCCCAAGCTGGGCCTGTGCCCAGGAGATGCTGCTGCTCCCAACCATGGACCCCAATACTGGGGAGGGAGCCTCCTCCTAGGGGAGATTCCAACCCAAGCTATGGAGTCACTAGAGGCCAGAGGACATCAGAGGTTGGGGCTCTGTCCTCTGGGCTCCCAGCTCCTGCCCCACCCTGCTACCCCATCCTCAACCCTTGGTTTCTCTGCAAGCTGAACAGCTAGGACCGCCAAGGGGGAGGGTGTGGTCCCATCAACCCTGCTGTGGCGAAACCTGTCCCATCTGGTGTCTGATGTCAGGACAAGGAGGCCCCCAGGGAGGGAGAGATTAGCATCTCCTGGAAGGGGACAGGGCAGGCAGCAAGGCCGCCCCAGGGGAGGGGGAGGCCTGGGCTCTGGCAGGGAATGCGGCACAGCCTGGGCCGGGACTCACAGGCGCTGTATTTGCCAGCCTCCTCGGTTTGGTGTATCACGGTTCTCTTCTCCTGGCACTGGTCCCCCTTCCTGGAAAACAGGAAGCAGAAGGAGAGGCTCTCAGGAAACTCCTGAGCCAACCTGAGCTCACCTGGCACATGTGCCTCTGCCCTGGTGTCCCCAAAAATTCCACTGTCATCCCCCACTGCTGGGGACTCTTTCCCCTCAAGGTCAGGGGGACATTCATTTTACCCACATCCCAAACTGGGGCTGGAAGAGGCATGAAGAGGGGCTGCTCTGGGCCACCCCGCAGCCTGGGGCCAGGGAGACGGAGGGGAGAGCAGGACCCTTGGGTGGCAACACTCACATGAAGGTGAACATGGCCTCCAAGTCTCCACCATCCAGGACAGTAACTCTCATGGGAGACACATTCCTGGGCCTCTTTTCCTTAGGCAGGTTCTTGTCAACCACCATGGCCTTCACGTACCACGTCCCCGTGATCTGAGCAGGGTAGGGGCCGTGAGCCCAGCAAGGGCATGGCCCAGAATCTCCTCCTCACCCCCCAGCTGCCTCCCCGGGTGCACGGGCTGCAGCCATCCCCAGACATCCCCAGCACCCCGGCCACAGTCCTCCACAGGCCGGCTGGGTTCCACACACCCGCTCCCCAGGGCTCTGTCAGAACAAGCCCAACACTCAGGGCTCCCGGCCCCAAACAGAGGCAGGGGTGTCTGCGGCCCCACAAATCTCTTCTCTGCTGGGACCAGGCCCCAGCTCCCTATGAGTCCACACTCCAGAGGTCCCTCAGCGCCTCTGGGGTCCCCAGGGCATCAGCTCAACAGTCCCTGAGCTGAACCTGCTTCCCTACTTCAGCCTCTGGGCCCAAGGAGGGGCCCTGTCTGAAGACACAAGAACAGAGCCCTCCTGCCCTCTGACCACTCTCTGCAGGGAGCACAGGATCAGAACTTCCACCCTGAATGACACCTCCTAGGACAGGGCCCTGGTCACTGCCCACCCAGAGGCAGTCGCCACCCCCCTACACTCGTCCTCCCCACCACTCCCCAGGCTCACATTCTGTGTCTCCAAGGGGAAGAACAGGGGATCCTGGGCCTGCAGGGCCGTGATCAGGCCGAGAGTGATGGTCAGGAAGAGAATCTTCATCTCTAGGGCTCTGCGCTCACAGCTGCCGGCAGGTCACTGGCGGTCTGGAGGAGGCTGTGCGGGCCCCTCACAGGGCTGCCCTTTATACCCAGCTCGGCTCCTGCCAGTGAACACTTGGCACAGACCACACCCCTCCCACCCAGCATCCCGGCCAATTCTGCATCGGGGAAGGTGGACTGTCGTTATTGTTGGAATCTGATGAGTGACAGTTAAGTGCCAACCACATATTAAGACTCATCGTGCCGTCCCCTGTTTGCACCTCCCAGGGCGCTCACTCCAGGTGAGCCATCTGGAGGAGGAGTATGTTATCAGAATGGGCAGGTGTGCATGTCTGCACTACAGTCACAGAGGGAAGGCCAAGGGCTTGCTTCCCCTCCTTCCCACCCCTGCCCCTCCCAGGAGCACAGGGCTGGACCCTCAGCAAGTTCTCTGGACACGGGCCCCCGCCAGCTGCTGAGGGGAGAGGGACTGAGGTTTAGAACCGCAGAGACACGGGCGTGCGATCAGCCGAGTCCCACAGGCTCCCCAGAGCCCGAGCTCTCACCACCCTGGGGCCCCTGCATTTGCTCCTCCAGGATCTGGGATGCTCACCCAGATCTTCCTGGGGTTGGGGCACTCTTTTAGGACTTGGGATGAGTTGAAATATCGCCTCCTCAGAGGGGCCTCCCCAGGCCACAGGAGGGAGTGCTATGGCTACCCTACCCCACCCCTTCATTCTGGACCCCGGGGCCGGGCTCTGTTTTCCAGGGAGCACTCGTTATTCTCTGGATTGGCTGCTCATTTCTTCACACGCGTGTTCACCGCCCGTCTCCCCTGTTAGAATTTAAGTTCCCCAAAGGTAGAGGCTTGATTCCTGTCTCACAATGGCGATGCTGCTGTAGGGGGAGCTCCTCCCACATGCTTGGTGCTCTCAGACCTTTGTTCCCTCAGGAGTAAACCAGTTACTGAGTCTCTTGGAGCCTCAGAGGATTCCTCTCTGACAGGGGAACCCACAACTTCTATTGCTTTGATCTCCATGAGGCTCTGCTGCGACGTGTGAAGCCCGCTCCCCTGGCAGGTACAAGGCTCCGTGAACAAGGGGTCCTCCCCTCCTTCTGCCTGGAGTGGGGCCCGGGACCAGGTTCCATCTGAGCCTGTCCAAACCCCCATTTGTGCAACTGCTTTAACGTGCATTCTTGCAGAACCCCGACTCTCCAGAGCTCTTTCACCTCCCTCCTCTGCTTTGACCCCCCCCATGTCCCTCAAGACAGGCCTCAAATCTCATTCCCTTTGGACAAATGGGCCGAGTGAGGCACAAAGAGGCCACGTGCAGGGCTGTGCTCAGAGTTCATGGCTGAGTGTCTCTGGGCACCAGGATCTGCTGGCCTCAGCCCCGCTGCCTCCTGAGCAAGAACTTGGCCTTCTCCCTCCTTGACCCTGTACTTCCTGGGCTTCAATCATCTTCCCTGAACCCACGGCTGACCCAGAGCCTGTACGCAGGGGCTGGGCCACACAAGGGCACCTTTGTGCCTCTCTGGCAGAAGATTAGGCACCACTGTAGATTGCACACCCACAAGTACTTCCTAAATAATAATAATTAGCCCTCTCTAATAACCCCTGAGGGATTGTACTGAGGGTGCTGGAATGACCCAGTAATTAACTTCCAGCTTGCAAGGTGCTGCTGAGCAGAGAGCCTGCCCCCCTGGGAGTGGGACAGGGCGAGGCCAGTGCACTTTAGGATCAGAGATTAGTAAACACGCTCGAGAGGGAGACCTCTTCCTGTCCCCTGTTCTTGTCAACTGTACCCCAGAAACCTTGGTTTCGCTTATTATTTGGGAGTCACTGACCTCAGCATATTATGACATTGACCAATTTAATTCAATCCTTGAAAAAGATGGTGGAACAAGGTGTAGGGATCATTAGGAGTACAGGGCTGCCCCCATGAACTCTATGCTTAGTGTAATCAGAGGTTTCCAGGGGCTGCCCATGATCCACCATCTTGCCCTGTGCCCCAGCAGGTGAACTCTACAGAGTTTTCTTTTTGGATACTGGATACGTTCAACAGGTGGTAGACACCACTGGGAGAACTAGGGATGGAGGGGACACCTATCTCTGCGCCCAGTACTCCATGGCCTGAGGCATTTCTTTGGATGGCTGTATCCCTTTATGGTGGTAGGCCCTCATACCATCCACACCATGATGACTGTCCCTACTCCACAGCTCTAACTCTTACCACTTCTGGTGACACCTCTCCCTCCCTCCCCTTTGAATCTCAGAGTGGTCTCAGCTTCTCAGTGCTGCTACTTCTCAGGTGCCTCACTAAAGGGGACAAAGTCTGGGCTTTCCTTGGCATTTGGGGGCAAGATGGTCTTGATGGCCCCACCAAACAAACACCAAGTCTAGAGGGCATGCTGGCTGGGACTAAGGGGCATGTAGAAGGGGTAGAAGACGAGGCAAGATGAATATCAACTAAGGCCGGAAGACCAACTGGAAAACTGGGACTGTAGCTTGTTCCACTAACCGTCTATTTTCATTGTTTTAGAGATTGTGGTTGGCTACCACCCTGAAGCCTCAGTTCCAGAATTTGCCAGAACAGATTTGATTTGGAGCATGAGTGCATCAGTGCAGTGCAAAGGGTGGACTGTGGTTGACAGGGCTGATGACCCACCCCCTCAGCCCAACTCCAGCTGCAGTTCCTACACACTGACAGGTTCCCAGCTTCCCACCTCAGTTCCCGCACCCTCTGTTCTCCTCTGCTTCCCCTGACACACATGGTGAAAGCAGATGTGCAGGTGAATTCACATACCCAGTCAGTAGCGATGGTAACTGATGGGATAAATGTCCTAAGCTCTTTGTTCCCCATGGGACAGTCTGAGATGGTTCCACTCTATTTCTCAGAGAGTCTTCAGGAGGACTGAGTCCCAGTTGCCCATGATGGTGATATTCTCATTAATATACCCTTTATTGGATTTTCTACCTTCTCCATCTCACTTGATCTCAGACTTCTGCTTCTAGAACTGAGAGAGAATGAATGTCTGTGTTTTAGCTACCTGGTTTGTTGCACTTTGTACAGCAGCCCTAGGAAATGAATACGATCCTTAACATGTTAATAATAACATTAAATGTAAATGGGCTACAGACACAAACTAAAAGACAGGGCTTGGTAGGGTGGACTAAAAACTATGATACAACCATATGCTCTCTTCAAAAAACTTACTACAAATATAATGATAGAGGCAAGTTGGAAGTAAAAGCATGGAAAACATAAACAAAATAAATAAGTGTATTATGGCGCCACTTATCAATGGATTGCCTCTGTAATACAACATCAGTGTGTTGCCCTTCATTTTCTGTTCTGCAATAATGGAATTGGACCCAGTAGGCATTTCTCTTTTGCACCTGGCAGGGGTTAAGCTTTGTTAGTAGAAGGCTTAGGACGAAGGGGCTTCCTTCCTGGTCCTATGGTGCTTCTATGTTTTTTCATTTTCTTTTTCCTGCTGTACAACCAGCAGTGGTATAATTCGGGGATGTCCACAGGGAGTCACCCACAGTGGGTGATCTACAGTGGAATCAGTGGATCCCTGTGGATGGCTTCCTAAGGACATTGAGTGGCACCTCTACAAGTGGGATCCCAGTGAATCCTGTAGGTGTCTCAGCCTCAGCTCACCTGCCCCTGGGAGGGGACGGAGCTTTGATACTTGCCAGTCTCAGCCTACATTTCCCTACCTGCTGACCTCTGCCCTGACCAGGGACCCGTACTGGCCCTGGGAAACATGGCAATCTTCTCCACCATCCCTGGGCTGCAATCATTCCTTCTCCAACAAGGTCTGAACGCAGCCTTGGTGAGGGGGTTCCCTCCCAAATTTGTTTCTTTCTTAGCTACTCTACTGTACCTCTGGGCTATTCTCTATAGTTCTCTTTGCACTTTTATAGTTAATTTTTTGTTATGTAAACTATCTCTGCTCGATCTATTGTATGGTTTCTGTGTTCTGACTGAACACTGGTTCACATAATTATATATTATTTTAAAAGGTGATAAGCGTTAAGGGGAAAAAATCAAAGCGGAACAAGTTGGGTAGGGAGTGTCAGGACAAGGGGATAGTTTGTATTTTAAATGACATGGTCAATACAGCCTCACCAAGGTGACATTTGAACACAGAATTAAAGATAATGGAGAAAATGAACCATGAAATCATCATGTGGAAGAGGATTTCAACTGGAAGGAACATACAACGCAAGTCTTCAGGTGGAAGAGTGCCTGGCACGTACCAGGAACATAATGGAGGGCAGAGGGACAGGAGCAAATGATACAGGTGAAGACTGGCCAAAGATTAGGTCAGACAGAGGGTGGGACTGATTCAGTTGGGCTTGTAGGCCATCACAAGGACTTGAGCTTTTCTGAGAGTAATGGAAAGCCCCCGGAAAGATTTCAAAAGGCAGGGTGTGACTTCTGGTTTTAAAGCATCGCTCTGGTTGCTGCAATGAGGATAAATTTGGGGGCAAATATAGAGGCAGAGAAACCAGTTAGACAGCCATTACAGTAATCTAGGCCAGAATGGTGGTGCAATGAGGTCTCCCCAGCCATCGGGGAGCAACAGGGTATGGACTTACATCCCCACAGCAAACAAAGAGAAAACGGGTCAAAATACGTGAAATGATTCTTCATCAATGACCAGCCTACACATGCAGTGGGTGAAAGTCCACAAGGCCAGGAAAAAAAAAAACCGTTGGATAAAGAACAATTCCAAGGAACTGTAAGTCAAACCACACCCAAAAAACACAGATTCTAGAATTAGTTGACATGCCAAGAAAATGGCAAAGGAATAGCCTTTAACAAGTAGTGCTGGGACAACTGGATATCCACATGTGAAAGAATTAAGTTGAACCCCTGCCTCACACCATTTACAAAAATTAAGTCAAAATGGATCAGGAATGTAAATGGAGGACCTAAAACTACAAAACTCTTAGGAGAAAATGTACAACTAAACTTCATGTTCTTGTATTAGGCAATGGTTTCTTAC